CTCACCTAAGAAGCTTCAGTCTGAACAAATTGCTGCTTACAAAGCCCATTTCCTTTGTAAGAACTGTCCAGACAAGTGCAGGGAAAGTGTTTCCCTTGAGATTACATAAGTTTCTCGCGATAGAAACCCAGTTTTGTGAGACCAGTGTTCTCACCACGTAGTGTTTACTGACCAACACGAGCTTTGGTCACCGTTGTTATTTGTGAGACCAGCGTTCTCACCAGGTATTTGTATACTGACCAACACGAGCTTTGGTCATTGCTGTTATTTGTCATTGTTTTTTTATTTGTCATTGTTGTTATTTGTGAGACCAGCGTTCTCACCAGGTATTTGTATACTGACCAACACGAGCTTTGGTCATTGCTGTTATTTGTCATTGTTTTTTTATTTGTCATTGTTGTTATTTGTGAGACCAGCGTTCTCACCAGGTATTTGCATATTGACCAACACGAGCTTTGGTCCACGTAGTCACATTTGAGACCAGCTTCTCAACAGTTAACCGTATATTCAGGAAACCAGTTCAAGTGTCTAGACGGTATATCCTAGACAATCCCATAGTTTCAATCAGAGATAATAAAGCTCCGGCTAAGTTAATCTGACTGATTGGTTTAGCGAGCCTCCCAAGAACTCACACGTTATCTACCACGAAAGAAGAAAAGTCGTAGACCGTGTTAATCGAGGACTGGCAAGAAGTCTTATCCAGTGTAATTGTGGTGTCATTACATTCTTACACGTATTTATATAAGACCCTCGGTTATTAAGACAGCGGGAGGCGCTCATTGCTGACTCATACTTAGATCTGAATATTTTAGGTGAGACAAACAGTGTTCAACTTTCGCGCCACAACAAGTTTTGCCAGTCGCTCATGGGGAGTTGTCCTCCAACATTTCGGCTATAGTATGATGACTAATGTATGGTTTTATTTGTATTGTGGCTCTAGGATGAGAGGACTTCTCCCCATGGGTGGCTGGGTAGGAGTCTGCTAAAAACACAGCTTTTCCAACTTAATAGGCTTTTGCAAAAGTAAATCCAGGGTGTGCTTAAATTCACAAGTCCAGGTAACCAAAAAGCAGATTAAGCGCAATAAGTAATAAACAGTAGTACTACTAGCAAGAGTCATATACTATGTTGTTTAAGAGTCGTGTACTATATTGTCCGAAAAAAGAAATTGTCAGTAGATGCCGATTATCAAGTATCTTGAACTCGAGACTGAAACACCAATGTTCACTGTTCCGGGTGTGTGCAATGTAGTCACCTCAATCCTACCATTACAGTCGTGTTCATTGGCATCTCATTGTCTATTGATGTCGATGGCCTTCATCAGACTTTTGCATGGTCGCATTTTGAATCTGATGTTTATAACCCATTGCAGTACCCTTCGTCATTTTGCAGCAGCCCGTGTTGATCTGTTGCCCACAGCTGCTTCCTCAGTGGGATTGAGACAAAATAATGACCTTCTGTGGTTTCATTACAAGGATGCCTGCTCCTGTTTTGGTGTCTATTGCACAGGCTTTTGTTCCTCGCAAAACTTCCTGCCGCACCACTATTGCAGTCATCTTGGCTGATTTCTTCAATTGGCGCACCAAGCTTGAGCGCTCTGAGTGCTGAGCTCTTGTCCACACAATCATTTAATGTCTCATTGCCTATTGGTTGTATCCCATTGCTGCACATTTCTGTCATGTGTACAGTGAACAGGTTGCCTCTGCTCTACGCTGACCACCGTCTCTCACCGCTTTTCTTGATGTAGAAGCCAGGATATGTGAAGCTTCTACTTCTTTGGATATGCCATAGCTAACCTTGCCTTTGGCTGATTTGTCCCGTGTCCTTCGCGCTCTGAACCAGCCCAACATAGTCTTTTGTGTTTGTCAGCAGCCTGAATGTGCTTGTTCTTTGATAGATACCTGAACTCATCGCAAGTCATGCAATGGGCTTGCTAGTGCTAGCCCTGGGCATGTTTGGCTTGCTTCCATTCCTCAGTATCTCCGAGGTGCAACAGCAGGATAACTGACAACTACTACCTGCAGTCATCAGATCTCTTAACTTAATCTCTCCAAGTTCTTTTCTTCGAATAACACTAGACACTAAGAGAGGCACTGGCAAGCTGGTCACTCTTCCGGTTTATGTCCAACTTCGGGATCAAGTTCGGTTCATTGAGGCATCTGAGATCTCATTGCCAATAGTTCAAGGCTGCAAGGTCATTTTCTCAAGAGTAGTACTCAATTGATTAAACGTCTCCGACAACTTGAACTTATGGTTGTGCATGCTTTGTACCTCTTGACTTCACTGATTGATCAATCTGGTGTTAACATTGTTAGGAAACATCTGGACTCTGGTCACGGATGTGACTTGTACATGTGATTGATCGTACCTGTGAAAGTAATGCAATTCATTTGCGATTCATGACTTCTTTGTTCCCAGTGGAAATGAACGTTTGTATGACCCCCCAGTTTGGCCGTCACTGTGGTACAAGGGTAACTTGATTGTCTTTTCTTTTCTTTAGCTACAGCCTATCTACTGGGATATTAATACATTGAAACTGGACTATTGCAACGATGCCGTGGACAGAGCAAGAGGACACTATAGTGATGTTGAACTGTGAGAGAGGAGCTCATGATCACAGCATGGTCCAGGGTTTCAAAGAGAATTGTTTAGGGCTGCTCAATAAGTATTCCATATTGTTCGAGAACCCCGTCAGCAGAGGCACTCAAATGGAATGATCCATACTCGAGTACCAAAGCCTTGGGCTCAAGTCGAGCGCGCATCAACGTGAATTGCTTCCATGAGATAAAATGCTCCATATGTAGATACCAGATGACTTTCCATAGGCTTGAAAATGTTGATTAGAATATCAATTATGGCCTCATTATAGGCAGGTGAATTGCAATATTGCCACTAGGCTATCGTTTAATCTATTGAGGTCAATAGACCCTGCAGATGAAAATTTCCGACTGCCTTCCATTTTATCCTACTAATGCCAGACATAATCAGCCTTGCTTGACGTGCGTGGCATGCAATGTAGCAGGTCGCACAGTGATACCAAGGTGTGTTTTCAACCTTTCGCCAATGTCTTGGACTTTCTCCCACATCACAGGGTGTTGATGCAAGTATTTGGAAGCAGGTCGGCAAAGATATAAATGATGAGGGTGCTGAGTGGAGATGTGGTCTTATCGTGATACTTCAATTCCAGCAATGATAACAGCAGCTAGGACCTGAGGTCCATTCTTCGTCATCATTGGAAATGTCTGCCTCATCAGCATTGATAAACTCATACTGGAATACAAGATTGTCTATTGACTTGGACTATTATGGTACACACAATCAGCAGCCCCCAGAAGTCGGCACTTTCACAAAACTCGTGTTTCCAGCTACCTAAACACAAAATTCTTTACATAGACATCATTCTCTCTCTAACACAACTCAATACAAGGTCAAACGAATACATTTGAAGCAGAATTGAATGAGATAGCTGAAAGTGCCAAAGTCACGCAGAAATGTCACCTGCCGATATATGCCGTGATGGAGTTTTAATACTGCACACACCAGTGCCAACTGGTGCTATGCTGCTGGTCATGGGGCTGATCTGTGTTCACAAGTCTATCAGCGGTAGACACGAGCTTCGCCGGACCCTACATATGAGTCATGCATTCAAGCTGCAATTCAGGGAATTGCAAATGGGCTATACGTGATATCAAGTTGAAGATGTTTGATGCACTCTCAACACTCTGGCACAAGGATGATTTTATCACACTTGCTGGCACTCTCAAGATTCCAAGAGACGGAACGGTTGAGGAACTCAGGACTAGAATCAAAGAGTTTCTTGCTGATGCCGCAAATCAGCACTTTGCGGACAATCCACATTTTGCTGCACTCTTCCAGACAGGAAAAATGCATTCAAAGAATAAGAATTTAGCCACTGTGTCATTGACAGGACAGGCTAGTAGTGGCGCCTCACAAGACAATGACACTACCTCATCCAACACTTCCGGTACTCATTTTTTCACCCCACCTGCCAGTGCACATTCTTTTAATCCATATTATCCTCCACACTTTACTAACCAGCCATATTTTCATCAATTCTATGCTAATCCAGCTCTCCGCACACCATCTTACTCTACAACACAACATAATAATTCATCCGGCGGTCCCATTGCATCATCATCAAACTTAGACAGACAACCTAAGCATCCTTACAACACACACAGTCTCCCTACACATCCCCCTCAATTCTACAACTACGGCACTAATCATGGTCACCCTTGTACTTAGATTCTACTAGTATATACTGTACTTGCTTGCTCACACTGAATACTAACTCACTTCCTTGCACTCCTGCTTGACTGCTGAGCTGACTTTGAAACTGGCTCAGTGACATGTCATGACTTACTGTGACATTTGTCAGAAATTTCCTATTCGGGTTTCATGGCCTTGCAATGCGTTGCAAGGATCCAATGACAAATCCGGGTCCCAACAAGTTGCAATAAAAGAGTGTCACATTACAATTTATCTTACAATTTGGTTGCAATCATGCATTTCAATGAAGATTTCAACCGAAATGGCAATTTTGGCCGTCAGCTGCAACAATTGAAGCTGATTTCATTGCAGCTCGAGATCTGGGTCTCAAGGACGACCTAAGTTTGTCTCAATAAACATATTTCAGTTTCAAGTCAATTCAAACATTATTCAAACCAAAAGAAATCATATTATAATGAGGACCAATCCAACTAAATACTACTGTAACTGTAAATGTTCTAGTTTTTTCTCTGAGATCATGTTTCCCGCTGCTCCACTGACGAAGAGATAGCTGCTAGCCCACCCCTCTTTCCCTGACCCCATCAACCCCAACCCTGCTTACTATTAGAGGATGATTCAGAGGCAGCCGTATTGCCAGGTACATCAAGACTTGTAGTGATGTCTGAATCTGGTCCAGGAGTAATATTGGTAACAGTGGTAGGCACAATGGACGGAGGAGATTCATTAGCTGCGAGCGAAACTGGTCCAGGTCAAGGAACAGCAGGGAGTGCCATAGAAATGGCATTGAGAGCATTAGGAACCAGGGTGACATTGGTCTGGGCAGTACGAGGTGCCTCTCTAGTGGTTATGGTAGGGGTGGTTGGGACAGGTGAAGCATTGACAATGGGGGTGGTAGATTCTGGTACAGCGAGGACAGAGGGTCCAGGTGCAGTGGGAGCAGTTGTTGGTAAAATGGGGGTGATCAGAGGAGGGTGGTGATTATCATCAGTAGTCGAAGAGTCTGAATCAGATTTGTCTTTGTGTCCAGCATTGGCAAGGGCCAAGCGCATTAGATCAGATGTGAAATCCTCATCTTCGGCTTCTGGAGTCACTATGTTGGAAGATGATGATGACTGCCAGACGTGATGATCGATTTTTTGGCAGATCAAGAGGATGCGGGGCTCTTCCCAAAGTGTCACCCACAGCTGCTTGTAGGCTGTGAACATCGATGCATAAGGTAGCTGAGATTTTGCGCCAACGCTGTCTTTGGTGAATGAAGTATTGGGGGACAGAATGAGGATCAACTAAGAATTGTTAGACACTCAGGATTGATCAAAGTGAAAGGAAACAACTTACTGCAACCCAACCCCAGGCAAGAAGACCAGGGGTGGATGAAGTTATGCCCCATTTTCAAGCATTACACTTAGCATGAGGCCACCCAACAATATCCAGCGAATTCTTTCCGAACATTATAATCCTAATTGCCTAGGTAAATTTGGACCAGAAGACATATTAAGGACAGATTCAGGTAGTGATAAAAATAAATACCTTTGCGAGTGACTCTCAATTTCCAAAAACTGTGGACATTGTAGGGTCCATTTCCTGCCTCGTAAACAAGACGGGAGGGAACTTTGATGACGATGAATGAGTACTAGTGATACCAAGCATCCTCTGAATTTTGGGAATGGTATCTCATTTCACAAAACTAGTATCAAAGTATGATGGATCGAGACCGAAAATTCGACCTGCCATTACCCTTAACTTGCTGATTTCACTCAAGCATCCACCTTCAAGGTGGTGGTCCAGCTGCAGTACATATTAATAATCATTAAATGCTGGGTTACACAACAGACTGACGTACCAACAATTTGAAATGAGAAGTAGGTATGAACCGATGGAGATGATCTGGGAGAAACATGCATAGTTCTGTCACAAGACAGAGTTCTTCTGCACTCTTGCTGGCATAGTGACTCTTACAGAGGATTGCAGGTGGAGGATTCAGGACAGGAATTTTGAGGATATGATGATCAGGCGGGAACATCTCCACAACAATTCCATACTTGTGGGAAAAAGCCAAGAGCTCAACATCAAAAGCCTTTAGCTCATCTGGAACTTAGGTGCTTGAACGCTAGCATTGGTTGGACAATAAAGTCTTGTTCTTCTTGCCCAAAGTATGATTGCTGTTCTTAAGCGCCTGGTTTTCTAATTGCAAGCACCGAACAATCTTGAGACGTGATAATCAGTATATTAGATAGTCACAGGCATAGCATGACCATAATACCTTGATGTCCCTATGCTGCTGTTGCCTGCGACTGTTGGAGACAGATGGCTGATTCAGACTATCAGTTGACGAGATACCTGCTGCAACAGATGGAACGTCTGATTCATCAGAATAGTCCAATTCAGACCCATCAGATGGAATGTGATGGTGAGCCTGCTGGGGCATGATGAGAAAGATATGTGCTGGCAGTCATGGGGAATTTACAGGATGGGGAAGGGACAATTTATAGGTGAAATCTGCCGCATATTGACAATTGGGCAGCATCGGGACAAGATGAAACCCACGGAACATTGAATGGTGCGATATAGCATAGTATAGCACTAACAATCAAATGAATCAGCCTCATGGCTTGACAGGAGGCACAAAAAATATGATACAACTTACCTGTGATTCAGATTTGACCATCCAGTCTAAGATTCAGACTGCAGCTGGTGCCGAAGGAGGATTCAGAATATATTAAGCATGCAGGGAAACGAGGGACACACTCCAAAAGCATGCAATATTAGTTGAAGCAGTTTGGGGAATAGGTCGTTGAGCATAATGTGAATTGTTTAGTAAGTGGCGCGGGAAGGGTCCAGGTTCAGTCTGGTCTATTGGGTCCACGTTGTCGGTGTTATGAACTAGGATAGTTCTGACAGTAGCTACTCGATAAGAGTATTTGGCTAAGGTCAAGTCAAGGCTCTGGCGTATACCACAGTTCGGTGGTTCACTAAGACAAGACAAGGAGAGTGTCCTCAACTTGAATCAAGTTCAGACGACTTAAGATTGGAGATCTTAAGCGAAGGAAGTTCCAGGTAAAACCTAGTAAGATTAAAGTAAAGAACTACATAGTACAAAGTGAGTTTATATAGTGAATGATAACTGCTTTAGGGCCGGTACGATGAAGTCAGAACGAGTCAGAGATAACAAGAATAGATCATCTAGCGATGGCATGATGTGATCGTGATGTAATACAGCTGATGATAAGAGATGAGTCTAGCGACGGCTGTAATAGCGATCGTGACGTAATACAATGTAAGAAGAGAAAATGAATAGGGGTGTACGTAGACTGTAACATTACCCCGTTTTTATCGTTGAAGTCACTGATTTCAACAATCCAAGTTATAGTAAGTGTCATAGTTGTCGTTGTCTCCCGCACATTGGGAGAAGAGCTTCTCGTCTTCTTCGACGGATGTTCGCTCTGTTTCAGCGTCTTTATCAGCTTCCCATCTAGAAAGGGCCTCGTAGAAACCCTTGTCTGTCCAGACCAATGGTATCACCGGTTCTCCTTTGAGATCTTTACAAAAGACCGATAGATGTCCTGGCGCTAAGTTGCGACATACTCGACAATAGTATGTAGGACAGTTCTTGTGACGATGGCCCATAAGACCACAATTATGACAAAGGAAATTATTGCCGGGTTCAGTTTTCACGATGGTGATGGAGGAGGACTGTGGTGGTGGGGATGGGGTTTTGGAGCGCATGGCTCGGTTTCGGGTGGTAGGGGATACAGAATGTTCTCGTTTGACCTTGGAAGGTTGGCGGGTAGGGTATCTGCGGATTGTGGTGGTCGTTGGGGTAAGTGTAATAGGAGTTGATATTACAGGTACAGCAGGAGGAACGAGAATGCTAGTCGTATGCTCAACGGGAGTTGATATCTTGACCGGAGGTGGAATGGGAATTATGATATGGGGGGATGGGGGTCTAGCGATTGGGTGGAGTGCAATTCGTTCAGTGACGATGTGGATAGCCTCTCGAATAATCTCTTTAGTAGTAGCAGGCATGAGATGCACTGCAGTATTGCAAATATGTATGTGAAGGTGACGGAAGATGGTCTGATGACGGGGGTCATTGATGAGTCCGGCAGTACGGCCGACGAGATTGGCGGCATGGATAATGTTAATGAGAAGTGCGCTGGATAGAGCTCCTCATTCAGCGAGAAGACGATCTATATCGATGGTGTATTGCTCAGAGGTGAGAGCGGATTCAAATAAGGTGTTGGTTTCGATATCGTCAAGGATATCGAAATAGTTGGAGTTAACCGATTCGTTGGTTAGTGTGGTAGCGGAGAATGTTGGGGAAAGTACTGGGGATGAAAGATTTTGAGCGGCAGTGGTCATAGCAGCAGAGATTTCTTGGACGCGTAAGAGAAGAAGTTGAAGTTGTTCGATTGAAGAAGGCATGATTTCGATGGGGTTCTTATAATCAATGGGTTTTCTTATAAGTAGCGAGGATAATTGAGGTGTTGCCTAGGTTCTCTTCTGGAATCCATTTGTTGCTGGCAGAGGCATATCCTTTCCAAGATATGAGATAGCGCCTTCATTTACCCATGCCTTTGTGCAATAGGATCGCTTCAACTTCATATTCTTCTTCGTTATCTATGATGTCAGGTGGTGGATCGTGGAAATTCAGACTGTGGATTTCAGTTTCGTGATAGGATGATAGTTTGGAAGCATGGAATGTGGGGTGAACCTTCCATTGTGCTGGGGGTTGGAGTGTGAACGTGATAGGGGAGAGTACGGCTTTCACGGTAAAAGGTCCATATCGTTTTGGGGCGAGTTTTCGTGATGGTAACTGTGTGATGAGATTCTTCCCCGATAACCAAACCTTATCTCCAACTTTCCATGGTTGGTACTTCTTTCCATATGATCGTGCGGCCATTCGCTGCATTGCGAGATTATGACAAGAGATGGCTTCTTCGTGTATCTTCTGAAGAAGGCGGAGCTGTTCTTCTGTGGCTGGAACGGTGGAGTCAGGGAGTACATGAGGGAGAGCCCGTGGCTCATATCCCATCATAAGGAAGAATGGGGATGCATTGCGAGAGTCGTGTTTATGGTGATTGTGGACGAATTCGGACATGGGGAGATGTTCAACCCATTCTTCTGGGTTATTGCGGCAATAGATTCGGAGGTAGGTTTCTAGTTCTTGATTTAGACGTTTGGTTTGGCCATCCGTTTGTGGATGATAAGCAGTGGAAGCAGCGATGTCGTATTTCAAAAGCTTAGCAAGGGCTTTAGAGAATTTGGATATGAATTGTGGTCCTCGATCTGAGATTACCTTCTCATGGAGTCCAAAGCAGCAGTAGACGTATTTGAAAAACTTCTTTGCTACACCTTCTGAGGTGATGGTTTTCGTACAAGGAATGAGAATTACCCCCTTCATAAGACCATGGTCTACCACGACCATGATAGAATCAAAACCGTTGCATGGTGGCAAATCAGTGATGAGGTTGACGGAGACTTGGGAAAAGGGTGTAGAGACCGAAGAAGGGATAGGAACAAGCGGAGGAGTTGTAGGGTGGGTATCTGATTTCATTTGCTGACAAAGGGCGCAACCCTCAATGTATTTTCAGATATAAGTTCCCATTGAGGGCCACCAAAAGTCGCGTTTAACCAGTTCTCTGGTTTTAAAGTGACCAGGGTGTCCTGCTGTGGCATGATCATGGGTTCGTTCTAAAATAGAGTGTCGTCTGGCTGGTCGGACGTAGGCATGATCTTTATAGAACAAGACGTCATCCTTAATCATCCAATCAGAGAGAGCTGATTTTATGGGAGGAAGACAAAGGCCATTTAAAGCGTCAGAGGCGGCTTGGAAGATGGGGTCGGTGTCATCAGGGTCAGGATTTGCAAGAGTAGTCATGAGCTCTTGGTCGAGAAGTCGGACAAACATGGAATCAGGGAGGAGTGTCATGTCTTCATTATCGACGGTATCTGGCGCATGATCAGGTCGTCAAGATAAGGCATCTGGTGTGGTGAATTTGGTTCCTGGTACATGATGGAGTTCAATGTCATAACAGGAAAGAAGGAGTTGCCATCTGGCTTGATGACGGGTTAACTTCTGTGTGGTGCGGAAATAGAGGAGGTTCTTGTGATTGGTGAATATGACAACCGGATGAGGATTTCCTTCTAGATAATGGCGCCATTCTTGAAGAGCGCAGATCACAGCGAGGAGTTCTCGGTCAAAGATCTGATAATTCCGTTCTGCAGGGTTTAGGGATTGATAAAGATAACCGCAAGGATGATATACACCGTTTTCGTCAGTCTGAAGTAGGACTGCGCCAGTGGCAACTAAGGAGGCATCGGTGGCAACTGCGAATTGTTGTGACGGGTCAGGATTACGGAGGGACTGGTTGCTTCAGAAAACATTCTTTAAGTGTTGTAAATGCGTCTTGACAGGGTGTGGACCAAAGGAATATGTTATCCTTCTTTGTAAGATCGATAAGAGGTCGTGCGATATCAGAATAATGGGGAATGAAGTTTCGATAGAAGTTACAGAAGCCAAGGAATGATCTGGTTTCTTTAACGGTAGACGGGGTTGGCCAATCGTGGATTCCATCGGTTTTGGCAACATCCATAGTGATGCATCCTGGGCGAATGATCATACCAAGATATTCGACCTCTTGTGCGTCAAAGGTACATTTCTCCAGTTTCAAGAAAAGCTTTTCTTCGCGGATTCTGATCAAGATACAATGGGTGCACTCATGGTGTTCATCAAGGTTATTTGAGAAGATGAGGATATCGTCCATATAGATTACCAACCATCCTTCGTTAATCTCTTGTTGGAACGTGCGATTCATATAGGCTTGGAATGTGGCCGGGGAATTGCAAAGTCCAAAGAACATGATGTTTGGCTTGTAGAGTCCAAACTCTGTGGTGAATGCGGCTTTCCATCTATCATTGGGGTGGATACGGATATTGTTGTAACCAGAGCGGACATCCATTTTGGTGAAATACTTTGCTCTGTGCAATCGTGCGACAAGGGATAAGGGAAGTGGTAGCGGATAAGCATTCTTGATCATCCAATCATTGATGTATCGATAATCTTGACAGGGTCGAAGGTCTCCGCTCTTCTTTCCTACAAAGAAGAAACCGCTGGCTTGTGGCGACTTGGACTCTGAGATAAAACCTTTCTTTACGTTTTCATCAATAAATGCTTTGACAGCGGTCCGTTCAGCAATTGAGAGGGGATGGGTTTTTCGACGTTTTGGGGATGAATCCGGGTTTTCGTTTTTGATGTGGTGGTCAATACCAAGTCGTTCAGGGGGGAGTTGGTTAAGACCATCTTTAGCGAAGATGTCTGTGAAGTCATGTAGATAGGAGGGTACGAGTTCTTCGAAAGTTTTCTTCTTCTGTTCTAAGCCGGCAGCTAGAGCGAACTGCTGAGCTTTGTTACTGACTTTCGCATATTCTGTAGGCCATGGCAGGGGTTTTAACCGTGGGTTTCTGTTCTGAGTGACTGGTTCCGTCGGAAGTTAAGGGTATGTCCATAGTGGTATTTGAAATTACCCAGAGTTCTGATGCGTTGGAGGAATATTCTACCAAGAATTCGTCATCATCTAGATCGTACATAGAGATTTCTCGCACTGGTGTGGCAAAGTTCTCTTGTGTCCAGATGTCTTCCTTAGTATCAAAGGTTTCGTCGTCATCATCAGGGATGGGGAGTAGATCGGGGATAGGAAGGACGGGTGGTGCTTCTTCGTCAATAATTTCTTCAATAGTCGCTTTTGGATAAACAACGGGGGTTTTCAATGGCTAGTTCCGCTTTTCTAAGTTTGGATTGCTTCCAGGTTCGATCGATAGGTTCTTGTCGAAATAGAGGCGAAAGACCATTCCTCTTTCTCTCTTTGTCGACTTCCTCTTCTACTTGGTCACTTTTCTTAGTGCGTGAGAGGATAAGTGTTTCTGCTGCCCAATCAATGATGGGGTTCATAGCGCGTAGCCAGGGAATTCTGAGAAGGATTTGATCTCTTCTCCCGAGGCGTGTGACAATAAATTTTCCGATCATGGATCGTCCATCTATCTTGATGGTAAGAAACACAATATCTGCGTATAGCTCCGCTTTTGGAATAGCTTCCATCGGCGGTAGTAACCTTGAAGGGTTTACTGAGGAGGTGGGTTCTGATTCGGTGTTGTTTGACGAAGTCTTCGGAGATAAAGGTTCCGGCTTGCTCCAGAGTCAATAACTGCAGTAGTTTCAACGGTTTTCAGACGAGGTTTCGAGATGAGGGAAATAGGAACACAAAGTTCTTTTCATTCTCCAACCTTTCATACAAGTCTTATAGGTCCATCGGAAGATACTGACATTGATCCAGCTCCCATATCAAAAATCCTCGTTAAGACGACAGACTTCTGCTTTCTTCTTCTTCTTCATCATCGCTTTCTACTTCTTTGCGAATATCAGGGTTTTTCCTCTCTTCTTGTCAGGGCACTTGCGGGCGATGTGTCCGACCTGACCGCAGGTGAAACACTTCCCTTTCCTGAAATATTCATTGCGTTCTTCTTCATTCAAGCGATCTACTTCCATAGTGTTTGGGTTGTGGTTCCGATTGAAGGATGGTTTCAGTACGTAGCACTGTCTGGATGTTTAGTGATGTTACAGCGGTTGTTGTGCACGGCTGCGCCTCGTTGCCAGTTACTGTCTAGCCGGATGGCTGCGGTTACATATTTATCGAAATCGTCAGGGATGGTTTCCATTTGGCATATGGAGTTTACGAGTCCTCCTTTCAGTACGTCATTGAAGAACATAATCAGGACTTGGGATTCCTTAATACAGGCTAGCGATGCTAGTGTTTTGAATTCAGCGATATAGGTTGTCAAGTCATTCCCTTGTCTCAGGGTTCTTAACCTGTTTATGGCGACCACCTTAGCATCGGCTGGAGCGAATGCTTCTTTGAAGTTCTTCTAGAAGTCGGTGAAGGTTCTGTACTTCGGGGTAGAATGAGAATTAGATTCCACATAAAACATTGTAGCCCATCCTCCTGTGCTGCCTTCAGTCATATAAGCGAGCGTGGTGACAACTTTCTTTTCATCGGAGTCATGAATCGAAGCATTAACGGTGAAGTATGCTTTCACCGAATATAACCATCTGAGGGCCTGGTCAGGGCTTCCGTTGTAGTGTGTAGGTGCACCTGCTTTCAGTTTGGAAGAGGTAGAGGACGACATCCTGAAGTTAGGGTTGGCTGTTAGGTTTCGGGGAGGGTTGTTCTACTGGGAATTCGTCGGATGAAGTCGAGGATTGGTTATCTGGTTCTGTGGTTACAGGGGACGGTGTACGTCTCTCTCTGTCGTCTGGTTCTTCTACAGGGGACGGTGTGCGTCTCTCTCTGTTATCTTCTGTATCTGGACCAGTGGCCTCGTGATACTCTTCTGGGGAATCGGGTTCATTAGGATCGCATTCCCACCAATACTTTCTGACCCAAGTGGTCGTCTTTGCTAATCAGCAATCTGGGCCTGCCGTGATGGAGAGGTTTGAAGGGTACTTTAATCTTTTGTTACGAACTAGGATAGTTCCGACAGTAGCTACTCGATAAGAGTATTTGGCTAAGGTCAAGTCAAGGCTCTGGCGTATACCACAGTTCGGTGGTTCACTAAGACAAGACAAGGAGAGTGTCCTCGACTTGAATCAAGTTCAGACGACTTAAGATTGGAGATCTTAAGCGAAGGAAGTTCCAGGTAAAACCTAGTAAGATTAAAGTAAAGAACTACATAGTACAAAGCGAGTTTATATAGTGAATGATAACTGCTTTAGGGCCGGTACGATGAAGTCAGAACGAGTCAGAGATAACAAGAATAGAGATGAAGTCAGGACGAGTCAGAGATAACAAGAATAGATCATCTAGCGACGACATGATGTGATCGTGATGTAATACAGCTGATGATAAGAGATGAGTCTAGCGACGGCTGTAATAGCGATCGTGACGTAATACAATGTAAGAAGAGAAAATGAATAGGGGCGTACGTAGACTGTAACAGTCGGTTCTCATCAATATTAGTGCCAATGATTCATTATATAATAGAAGTGTTGTGGAGAGGTTGCAGCTGTCGGTTCATGATTCATCCTTGAGGTGTCGTCTCAATGCTTGGGGCTTTGTTGGGACCAATGGACTTGGCGAAAACACAATGTCAGCTTATTAATAATATTACACAATAATACTGCCTACTTGCATCCAACAAATTGACATATTAACCATGTGTTCCTCCAGCATTCGAGTCTTCATCAATGGAATTTGTTTTTTTCAAAGAGCTAGAAGGGATTCAGACACCATCAGACAGGCAGAAGCTTTAATTACTCACTGTTCATCTGAATCAGCATCTGTGTACTTATTAATAGTTCGACACACAATAATGATAACATATCTAAAACAAACAGATGCAGAGGTTAGTGTGATGAACATAATGGGCGTGTGGTCCAGGGGCATGACCAAGGTGTCATCACCTGTCAGAGGTTCCAGCAGCCTTAGGCAACATTGGAGGGTGCATGAATTGAGTGTAAGGACTGAAGAAAGGGAAATTCATGCTGCTATGCCGCAAAGACGAAGACGTACCTGTGCTCGTTACCTGGACTGTTCCCTTGGAACACAGTGTAAGGACTGAAGAAAGGGAAATCCATGCTGCTATGCTGTGAAGATAAAGATGTACCTGTGCTCATGCACCAGAGCCTGTTCCATAGGAGGAGTAATAAGAAACTGCACTGCTAGGCGGCTCTAACACACTGTCAGTGCTCATACAATGGTGCTTGGCAGTATGCCCAGTCATGTTGGAGTGTATCAGACTGGAGAGACAGTCAGCATAATAAGATGGATCAAATGAAATGCATGACAAACCAGTCAAGAATTCCTGCTCGATAGCAGCATCCTGTGTAATGGTACCCTTGAAAGTCTCAGGGTGAAGGGGGTGGCCAAGGAGCAAGCAAGCAAGATCAGTGTGCATACCCTCATCACGGCTGATGAGCTCATTAGAGAACCTAAGATCAGGCATGAGACTGTGCTTCTTGAGCCAGAAGATGGATGCAAAGGAACCGGAGAAGATGCCTTCAATGGCAGTGAAGGCGACCAAGCACTCACCAAAGGTGGAACATCATCAGATATCTTGAGTGCCCCGGTCCAGCCTTGTGCTTGATGCAAGGAATAGTTTCCATGGCATCAAAGAGGTATTTGCGCTGGGTGGTCCAGGAATCCTTGATGTAAGAAGTGAGTAGGTCTCGGAGTGAATGTTCTCCATCATGATTTGGAAGCTGTAGAAGCACCAGGTTTCCGCAGCCTGGACCTCATTAGAGAAATGTTTAACAAAGTTTTCATTAACAATACCGTCAGTCCAGGATGCAGCGAAAAGGTGAGGATGTGTGAAACAAAGTGACATTCATTGTCATTAAGATGGTTTGTCCAGTCATGGATGTCCTTTGAGAGGTCCATCTCCTCGGCAGTCCAGAATGATGCCTCGGCTTTCTTGTATATTTGCCATATCTGGTGAATTGTTAGAACAAGGTCAACATGACCATATTAGACAGTCTAAGTAACAAACCTCGGGGTATTGAATGGGGGAAAAGAACGAAACACTTGGATTCTTTAAACAAAGGCTCTTTGCCTGAAATGAAAAAGTCAAGTTGAGGATGAATTCACAAATGAAATTAATACGCCACTGTCAATGACTTTCAGGAAGGTCAATTTCACCGACAAACTTCTTGCAAAGCTTTCAAGGTCTTCCTCCGTGTTCTGAGATTCTGGCAAGACTGAACACTTGCGATCATTGATGAAAACAGGAAGGCTATCCTTGTCATCTGATGGCTTTGAATTGTCAATGGTTAGTCTAAGGAGATATTTGCCAGGGCTGCAGCGGCCTAATGATTCAAGACACGTTAGCTAGAGCAATTTGCATGGTTAACTTTAAAATGCATGAGCCTTCTTGCTTGGTGTTGGAGCAGGGGATAATACATGAACTGGTGCAAGAGTGGAAGCCATTGAAGGGATAGGATGGTATGTAGTAAGATGAAGATATCACAAGAGATGGATGTCTAGGTTGAGAAGCAAAAGAACCAACCAAGGTTCCAATATGGCTAAGGGAAATTCCGACGAAGTAAAGAGATGAGGAGCTCCTTCGCTAATATATTTGGTGTGTATGTAATAATGATAGGGACAGAGAGAGAGGATTCAGAGGGAGAGGGGATACTGACAGCATGATGGGGAGACAAGCAAGAGGGAGTGTAATAAGTATGAGAGGTGTGAGAGGTAATATAAGGGGGATGTGAATGTGAACATGAGTGCAAGGAACACAGGCAGAAATGCACTAATATTCAATGCGACGGTCAGACAAAGGTCATGAAATTTAATAAGTCCAAATCAACCACAAGTAATGTACTAACCAGCTATAGTATTAATATGGATTTCCTTCATGTGAAGGAACATATCTGTATCTAGAGTATCAATGACCAAACCCTCATTGGGTCTGCTACTGTCTTCCACCGATACACATCCACAGATGATGGATTGCACCGAGAAGAATTCTGTGGACACTCTGGGCTTTGCCTTAACTTGCCAGAAGTCAAAGTCTTTATCCTTCTGTGGACGAGCACCAACAGATTGGTCATATGGGAGAGTGAGCATGATAGGATATTGGTCATTCCCAACTGTGCAGGTGAAGACCAACAGCAATTGTGCGAATATGACACCAACTTCGGTCTGTAGGATAACAAAATCGTATCAAGGCAATCCATGGAACATTGGACTGCATCTAAGATAGTCAGTGGATGTTCGCCAGTTGACAAGTGATTCATAGTTGACTTTGAGAAATTAATACTCGGTAATCTATCAATGAGCAATTAAGAAGTATTAATAGGATATCGGTGTGACAATATAGTTTTCCCTGGGCTGATATTCCCCCTTTTTGTTTACCTTCACTTGCCCACTTTCCTTAGTTTATGTTCGCATTTTACTGCTTACATAATCATATCTCCCTTTCACCACTGTCAGTACCAGTCTGAATCACAGTCTTTTGCTTGAGGATAATTCTACTCTCTGAGCTCTGAGTCTAGTACAGAAATCCTTTAGGGTCAAATAGCAGCTAGGCATAGCAATTTTGACCTAACATTTGAAGAGTACTTCACAGTTCTCTTCTTGTTGTGTTTCCCACATTGGTAATGTTGCGCACCATATTATCAGCGGCGAGTTGGACTCGTCTTCCATCAGGAAATGGGATGCCATTGGTATTGAATGCATGGTTTAAAAATACATTCAGCTTAATCCGGAATTGAACAAAGGCCAGATTGCCTGTGTTGCTTGCTTCAATATCTGCAAATGACTTTGTTACCTGCTGAGAACCGAGGCTGAAATGCAGTGCTGCATCTGTCAGTTTGGTCTCTGAATCAATCTCATCTGAATTCACCTCTGGATCAGGTAAATCTGACTCAGATTGGCTGAGATTTTGCGCATCAAGACAGTCCAATTTGCCATGAATATATTCTGCGACAAGGGTGTCATGACTGTATTGGAGAATCTTTGAATCCCATCAGCACTCTGACTATTAAGATGCAGCATCTGAATTTATTACCTGTTCAGTGACATTCTTGAAATTTGTGCGGTCCTGATAAGTGTTTTCAATGGACTGTGCATTTTCTCATTTGGTTTTGTGGTATAGTTTCGACTGACACCTTTCACCTTGATATCGTCGAAAAGATGCGCAGAAAGATGCTTCTTCAGAAAATTCCATGACTTGTCACATATTTCTAATGTGTCTTCAATGTATTTCTGACTTGTAGAATCTGAATCAATGCTACCGGTCAAGTATATAGTAAATGAAACATACATCCATCAGCTCTGTCAACATTGCCAGAGCTTTCAGCCATCATTGATAGTATCTTCAGTATGGACATCTAATGACGCTGTGGTGAACACAAGATGGCTAGCCTTGGGGAAACTAGCCAAATAGTTGTGAGTCTATGCTCTGCCTAGCTGCTACACTTGTAAGCAAGAACATTTGACCCTAAAGGGGACTGCTACTGAGACCAGCTGTGGATCTATAGGAAGTAAAGACGTGGGAATGTAGATAGGGGTAGGCCAGACGCACGGGAACAGGTCCGAAGGTATCCGAAGCGTGGGAACAGCCAAAGTGGACAGAAATAGCATGAGAACTCAGCCGATGCAAAGCAGACAAGTAAGGAAAGTGATAAGGAAGGACTAGGTTTCAAGGGATTGAATTGCAAGGTCAAGGAAACACTAGGTAAGATGTCTGAGTATCAAGTAACTAATAGGGGCTAAGAGTGGAACCTAATGGGTGACTACTTCAAAGTAAAACCTAAGGGAAGGAAATACCACTGAAGGGAAGTAATTGATGAAATAGTCACTACAGGCTCTTTTATACTAGCTAAATCCTCTCAGACTCGGAAGGGACAGGAATAGTGGAGATATGTAAGAACATGTAATAAGGCTGAAACCCTTGTTACAACACGAGGCAAGTAAAAACACGCACCAGTGGAGTTTGGATGGACATGGAATTGACACAGGGCTTTCCTAAAATGGGTTCTGAGTGGTCCAAAGGCGTGGGAACTCGGCCGAAGGTTATCCAAATGCGCGGGAATGGTCCGGACACACAGGAATAGGCTCAGGTATGCAGGAACAGCCGATGTGGCTGTGCAAAACGTCAGACATGGATGGATATGCAAGGGAAATGTGGCAGGGAGTGCTTTTGCCTATCACTGACCATCCTAAAGCATGCAGGGCACGGAAATGCGTCGGACTGTGGTTGGGTCGGCCAATGAAGGCGTGGGAAATGCGACCAATGCCTCAGCCGAAGGTTTGGGCCTAATTTGGCAATTGTAGGGAAGTGGTGAAAGATGTATGGAAGGTAGTTCCTGGATAGTTTGACCTCTATGTGAAAAGGGGCTTCTGCGAGGCTAGCCCAAGCTTGAACACCACAATGCATACATGTTGAACTCCGTGTAGCTATGAATACAGTGCAGCAGGAGATACACCTCTGGATCTTGCTCACGATTAAATACATTATGAGAAGCAAAGACAATAAGCTAATAATTAAAATTGATTCAGATCTTTATGGCAAATGATATTAGCGTAGAGTCAGATATCACTTGCCTTTGAGATATCTTCATATTTAGTACCATCAGAAAAAGACACTGAAACAACCTGGTCAAAATGATTGAGGTTTTGCCAGCGCAGAAATGAGTTGAAGCTGGAAATCTGAATTAGCGTCGCTGTAAAATAGACAGAATTTAATTACACACAAGTTATCAATCAACACGGCAGCTTGTCGACCTGAATGTTCGATCCACTTTTGCAGTTTGGCCCACTGGTGATCACTGAAAAGGCCTTCATCATTAAAGTGCAGTTTGTCGTGTGACAGGGCCCGATGAACATTGGTATGCTCCATCATATCAAACGAATTCTAATCAGATGGTAGATGATTCAAATTATAATTAGAAATTTAGAACCAAGGAAAGACTTACATCAACATTTTGAAGGCTCTCAGAGCTTAATATTTGTTCTTTTGCTTCTAATGTTGTAGACTCTTGGGCCCAAGCACATAATGCATTTTCATTTGCAGATGTGCAAATAGGATACACATTAGATGTCTTAGAAAGCTCATTGCGAGGTACAAGACATATCGGGCAAGGAAATTTTCCCATCAGACCACAAATCAACGCCATCACAGACCTGCAAGAGCATCAGTAATATTACTGACGAGGGACCTTTGAATCAACACTAACTGTTCTTCATAGTCTGCAGAGAGGGTCAGTATTATTGGATAGAAAACACGGACAAGGTCATCCCAACATTTAACAGCAGATCCAACCTTTGATAGTGGTGCAAGGCACACAAGGATCTTCATAAATGATTGATGTCATACCGCGTTTTTAAAGTTAACAAATGCTGGCTTTCCTGAGTGTTTCTTGTCTTCTTTCACCTGTGAAAGTGCTGCTGTTAACAATGTTCATGGGCATCAAGTGAAGCACCAAACTAACAATTGGTAGCCATCCCACTACATGCCCACCACCCAACCCTTCTCCATTACGAATCGCAGTAGGAAGGTTAGTGCACCGGGCAATGACGGGATAGCCTTTTGCATGACCATATGATGATAACTTTGCCTTATCAGCATAAAGAATGAATGTGAGAGGTTTGGAATCTTGTGGTATTTTCAACTATGATAATGGTAAATTAATACATGATACAAACCTATATAACACTGGTGTCATGTACTTGATACTCCCAGAAGCTATTGGCGGTCCAAGGCTCATGAATGAGTCGAACGATTCTATCACCATTAAACTTTGAAAGCCATTCAGCATCAAAGACAAAATGTGGACCGACTTGAGGATCCTGAAGGAGATCCACAGCCCAGTCCCATATTGAGCAATAGAATACCTGAAATGTCTTGTTGTCGCCCTGGAAGGGGATGATTACTTCTTCCTTTACGAACTATTATTGCACAGGAGAAAAAAATTGACTTAGATTGGTTTGCACTCAAAGTGATTGAATACACACAGGTGTTAATTTATACGAAGCTGCATCCCATGTATCCTGTACATCTTTGCGATTCCGAAGTGTGAAGTCTTCATGCTTGCTGCGATGAATGAGGTTGAGAAGTTGGTCCAGCTGCTGGTGGGTGAGAGCCACCTCAAGGGTGAGTTCTGCGAGTTCGGAATGGGCACCATGGCTCAGGCTCAACTGGTGGAACTATAATGGGGGCTCCAGGACCATGCCCATATTCCTCAAAATGATAAACCCATATAGGGCGCTGACTATTAGGATGGTACTGCACTTGGATGTCGTCCTCCTCAAATTGAGGTTGAGGTGACAACATTCTAGATTCAGGTGGTGGAGATCCTGAAATGAAAGTTGTAAGCTGAACAGACAGGAAAAACGGATTACCATCCATCTGTCCAAAATCATGATCGTCAGCATAGTCTACAGGGCCATCAATATCTGAATCGAGAGCATCATTATCCTGTAAAGGATTATAGTCAGTAGCTTAAATCAGAGTGAATGTCAGTGATCAATTTAAAGGCAGTGAGATGACATACAAAGAACTGAGCCGGATGGTCGTTTGCCAACAAACACAGATTTGACGGAACCTGGTCGCGCATTATTTTCTCTCTCTACGAGTTGTGTAATTAGTGTGACATTAATAGATACTGTTATTATAACAATGTACCTTGGTGAATCTCTCTAGCAAGCTCAAGATCCTCCCTTCTCTGTTCAGATTGCTTCCAACATGCATTTTCGTGCATCTGGAAACCTTCATCACGGAATCGGGCTGGAGATGCTTTGAATAGATATTTATGCCAAAATCAAATAAAAAATGCGCAGATTATATCCAAAGACAAAGTATTGTAAAGGCATCAGCATTATAATGTCAAACAACAATACATTGCAAGAGAACTTCAATTCTGATGAAGCATCGTAGGTCTTGCAACTGTGACAGTCAGCAGATAAACACTTGAAGGAAGACCCGCATCTCTCCAAAATGATGGTCACCCGCTGTATGAGCCTGACTTCGTGGTGGCTGTTTGTAATCAGACGCAGTCGGCAGATGAGAGCTACAGTATCCTTATAATAGTTATGCATTATCGTCATCCCTCACCATTGTGGAGTATCTATGCAAATGCTTTGCAATATCCTCACAATATCCTCGCAAAATTTACGTTGTACTGAACGTTTGAACCTGGGCCAGCAAAAACAAGACTTACAAAAGCAAATTTTTCACTTAAGAAAAAAAAGTGCCGTGGTATGATAGAAGTCAGCCCTTACTCATGATTGAAAAAAATCTCCTGGAAGATGAGATCTGCAGCCGAGCGACATGCTTGTGAGGTATTGAGCGTCGACGACAAGGATATAGAATATACATTAAAACCATTGAGGTATGAGTGTCGAACACAAGTACATAAAATATACATTAAAACCGTTGAAAAGCAACTGCGCGGGTGCGCAAGGATTGAAAGAGCAGAACATCCAAATTGGCATACAATGTACCCCGTTCTACATGCCATAGGTGTAGCTCTGATAAGGATCATTCAATGACCTGGCAACACCGACCGTGCCAAAAGGGCTCACATTAGCATATCCAGCAACGCCCATATAGCCAGTGGCTTGGGTATGGGGGGGGGGGGGGGGGGGGGTCAGGCTCGCGCTATGAGGAGAAGTGCCTTGCAAGACATATCCATCGATCGAACACGCCTGAAGACCGTGCATTTGGGGACTGAGGCGAGAATGGCTGTAGGAGCCGTGCGCTTGGATACCATACAAGCCTCCCTGGGCATAGACAGTAGCAACACTGGTAGGGTGCATTCCCTGGGGGATGTGCTGGGCCCCTGCATTGTGGTGACCGTGACCATGATAACCAGGGTTGCCACCGTGATGGCCAGAGTTGCCCATGAGCATCATGCCATAAGGGGCATGAAAGCTGAGGTTCTCGACGTTGGCCTGTTCCCGCTGCAACTCAGTTTGGATCGTAAGGAGTGTTGCGGATTAAGGGAAGGACTGGGTGAATACTTTTGAGGAGGAGCATACGCTGCACAGGATCGGCATAGTCTAGTGCGGTCTACAGGAATGTCCAGCCCAAGCGACAAATGCACAAAAGAAAAATGGTACCTGCACACAATAGTTGCCATATGAGTCGTGAAGTAGTTTCTCCAAGCGGGAGCGGTTGAGTAGCTCTTTGATCGAAATTTTCCTGGTACCATGTTCGGCCACACAAGATGCACTAGTCCCACTCGGCATGAAAATGTCCATCAAGATTTTAAAAAATGCTCACTTTCTCAATGACATTCGAGTTAAACCTCTGGACAGAAGGCGCATAAATGTTGCCTGTGAACTGACGAATGACAACATCGCTAAAACGATTGTTGAGATCCAAGATATATTGAACAACCTGGTAACCCCAACTCTCAGTGTCTTGTATTGGACAAGCAACGGGGCACTTGAACGTAGTTGCCATAAGGGTCTTGAACGAGCGCCAATGCTGTAGAGACTCGCGTTTCTGCAGGCACATATGGGCACATTTTGCACCTTTTCACAACTCATGACAATTGGCCTTCAATGCACGACTCGCACCATCAGCTATATTCGACTTCTATCATGTCCCTAGTCATTTTACACACAACGCGCAGCTTTCCCATGAAACGCGCCATAGGCGCGGTACTTTCCCACACAACGCGCAGCATTCCCACATGCACACCTTGCACGCTTTCTCGCGCTCAAGCGCCCTGCATTGCCCTGCATTGCCTATCATCCAGGAACGTCCCTCTATGTCCACCCACCTCATTGGTACGTCATATCCCTTGCCTCATGGTTTGTAACAAGCATTGCAGCGCTATTACATGTCATTACGTATTCATAGCGCTTATTGCTCCTATCCCTTCCACTTCCGATGCGATTTCCATAGTATAAAGTTGCTGACTTACTACTCCATCATTATTACTCCCCTTTGCTGTATTTCCCTCGCTATTGGGTTTTACTTTAAAGTAGTAGTCACCACTTGGGCGCACTTTGTGTTTCCAATGGTTATCGTTATCCGCCTATACTAGACTATTATCCGCGCTCATTATAACACTCGCTCTGCATTTGCACTTGCTTTGCACATCCGCTTCCTTATCCGGTATTTTCCGCACAACGCGCGCCTTAGCACTCACGTTCCCACGCTCGCGCTTACCTTAGTGCGCTCTCTTGCGCTTCGCGCTCACTTCGCTTTTCTTCTTGCACTTTCGCACATCCATCGCACTACAAGGGTCTTTCTTTCATCTGGTTCTGTGTTCAGTAGCAGTCCCCTTTAGGGTCGAACGTTCTTGCATTCTGCGAGTATAGCAGCTAGGCAGAGCCAAGACTCACTTATACTGGTTGAGCATTTTTAGATATTTCATATCAGTCCAGCCAGGTTGAGATCGCCTCAACGCGTTATAAGTGATTTCGCTCACAAGCTGGATGCGCTGGTGGTCTGAAGCATGGTCAATGCAGCGCTGCAGAACGCAGCATCCATGGGGGTGGGTAGCGACCTGCCCAATCAGATGTGGCGGGATGATAAGTCAACTCGCTCGTTCAAGCATCACTCACCTTTGATAACCTCTTCTCGAGCGAGGGAACCCACATAGAACACATAACTGGTGGAATCAATAAGATATTTTTATTGATTCGGGTCCGGGGGCGCTGATAGGTCAATGTTCGGGTTGATCGTAGTGCAGCACCAAGAAGGATGTTTCCGTGATTGATGGCGGAAAGAAAGGGTGTTGTCAATGGTCGCTGCATCGAGAATTCAAACTCAACATCCACTGGCAAGTCTTTCAAACTCCGATTGATTTACTCTATCAGTAGTCGAGATCACCAACCATGACTTGTCACACAGGAGAAGCACTGAGAAGCAACAAAGTTTTTATAATGAATATGAACAGATTTGAAGGAACAGCTAAAATCTCCCTACAACGTACAGAAGGCTAATATGCATCGTTCGCGGTCCATCAGCCATTAATGTGTTGCTCCAATACAGGAGTCATTCCTCGTCACCGAATAAGGCCAGGACCGAAACTGGCTATCGTCAACAGAAGTATGAGGCCCGCTCCAACAATGAGCGCCAGCATACATCCAATCCTTGCAGACAAAGATAGTCCGAATTCAGCGGTAAATACACCTGCCAGAAATCCGAGGATGGAAAATACCAAACTGCAGTGGTCCCCGTGAGTAATGAGACATTTCAACCCAAGTTTTAATGACCTTGTGTCATATACCATATATCCGGTTACAGATCCAATGATCCGGATCTCAGATCCGATCCAGATCCGATGAACATATCCGTCGTCCAGTCCACAGATCCGCTTTGATTCTTATTTCATTTCCTGTTCATATAACTCTCACTATCGTTCATCTCCTTTCGGTATTCCTGTACACCGGTATACCGGTTATCCTTTACTTCCGCTTTGCTTACTGATCCGCTATGCTTACTGATCCGCTACACTTACGAATCCGCTTTTACTTGTACTTCATTCCCGGTTCATGATTCGTGATCCATCCGACTTACCAATATGCTCCACTTAGACTTTGCTTATACTTTCATACATAGCCTCGCACCTTTGCTTATTGATCATTCCGTTAGCTATCCGTAGTATATAAACCTTTGTATATGCGCTGTAGTAGATCAGTTCGAATATCATCTTAGATTGCACTCATTCCGTCTGGACTCTAAGTCCCTCCGTTATCCGTCTGGACTTGAGTACGCTACTCTTGTCTATTCCGAGACTTAGGATAGATTCCTATAGTCTACATATCCGCCTCTGTCTTCGGACAGTCCTCACCCATTAGTTTCTAGTCCGGATCCGATCCGGATTAGCCGTTACTCTATACGTTCAATATCCGGAAGTCTTAACGGATCTGTTGCAATACTTATCCATTGCGATACAAGACTTATCCGTTACGATACTTATCCGTCTCACTAGACGCGATACTTTAGCTCTCTGAAATAAGGGGCAAGACTCGGGAAAGGGGCACAGCGCACGAGCTGAGGCCGAAGCCCTTCGGATCCGATACTACTTGAGTATGGTCTTAACAGTATATTCAAACTCATACCTTTCCGAGTTACTTAACACATGCCCAAACCTGGGACAGCAAGGATGCTGGCGTTGATGGCCATGATGACACTTGCCTGTCAGAGCAGACAAAGTCATAGTAAGCATGTTCATTTAGGTCCGCGACAGAGCACTTACCACGGTGGTTTGAGCTTTAGCTGGGTGCTGAAATTGTCAGTAAAACTCCTAATGTCCACCACATTCACAAGACCATCAACGTAAATCGTTTTAAGGCGTCTAAGCATCATCAATGGAATCCAAAGCATGGCGACTGCAGCGCCAGCGATCAAGGGAGAATCTTCGAGGTCTCTGCGTTTTTCGGCCAGTGAGTGCATTCGTATCAGGCAAGCTTCGGGTTGGCCATAATGGTTCAGGTATTCGTGATGACCTGTGTTGATCGCTTGATTCAATGACATATGGTATGAGAAAAACAGCATCATACGGAGCATATGCAATATTTTGCCTCACAAAAGATAAGTTTTCTGATTGCCAGCTACACTCAAGCTCATGCACCACATATTGCAACACCTGGTCCCTTCATGGTCCCATTGGGTTCTGCGAGTTCCTCTGTGTCAGTCATCAATTTGATTAATGTGGATTGAATGGTGAAGATAAAGGTACATGCCAGCAATGATCAGCTCATCGGTCATTTCCTTCATCTGGTCCAGAGTCCAGAATATTGAAGCCGCTGTTGACTGTTCAATGGCCAACGCTTCTGTTTGTTGTTCAGGGTACTTTCGATCGGGCTCTATGACGCTAAATAACTCACCTATGCGATACCAGTTCAGCTGAATTCGCAAAGCTCTTACTTCTGAGAGGGGTATTGTGATTTTGTGAGGAAATATTTGGCATGTTTCCTACTCAATCAGTAAGAAACGTTCCGTGTCAGTATAACAATCGCTCACCAAATTGAGCCTCCAGTTCCTGTACAATCAAGTTTAAGAATCAATGGACAAAAAAGGATGTACTTTTATGATTCCAGTGCGATGCCATAGATTCCTGGAAAAGAAGGTAGCCATTCACTGGCTCCACCCAGGTAATGATATGATTCTCTGGGACGACGTAATAGTACGGATAGACTTCCTTCTCTTGCACTACGATCGGCTCCACGACTAGCAGATATCCCTTTCCATTTAGCTTGGCTCTTGACGCTCTGACCCAGGACTCAAGCCTCCGGAGCCGTTCCTCTGAACAAGTCCTCAAGTTCATTTCGGTGAATGTTTTCTTTATTAGAACAAAGTGAGTGTGTAACTCCAAATACTAGCCCGCACTCACCATTCCCGCATTGTAGTTGTATACGGCTCCTGACAGGTGAACCAGCTCGGTCCAACCCCCACGCACCTCGGACCTGTTGATGCCGCGGTTTAGATCAACATCGTCAGTAACAAAGGACACCAACTGAGGCAATTTGATCTGCATCACGTCGATGTCATAGTTGTGCTGTGGAGAATCCCTATGTCATTGTGTGAGTACTCCGTGTTCGTCCTGTAATATTGACGACACTCATGGTGACCGTGCCATTTTGGTGTACTGCCCAAGTTGTGTAGGCCAGATAGGAATACTGCAATCGGGCAGCTGCGACATCTATCAAACAATTCTTTTAGCTGGGGTCTCTACAAAAAGCTTTAGAGCTCGCGGCTGAACAAAGTATGTACCGTCACCGTCGTGGCCATTGTTCAACATTCACACGATGATATAGTGAGGTATTGATATTGAAATATTTCACGCCACGCACGATTCTGATCATAATACCTCCGCCGGGGAACAACCCTGAAACCAGGGATATAATTAGCGAAGGCAGTTGGAGTGATCATGAGGGATATAGGATATAGTAGGTGATATATAGTAAGATCATTACGGTACTGCGCTAGTATGTATGCAGGCCTATGGAAAAATCAGACCGATTGTGATCTTGCACGGAATCTGACATGTGCTAAATTACTGTACAATTGTTGTAGCGCTGAAATGTGGGGGGATTTGGAAATCTATGCTACAAGCTGGATATCTCATGATGGATGATGGATATATGGGATGTGTCAGGCTCTGCTATATGCGTGAACGCCTAAGGCGTGACAATCATCCCCAAGTCCGAATCGTTATAGCTACATAAAGGGCGTGTGTGAATCATGGTTGTGCTAATGAAATTCGCGTGACATACCCGAAGCATTGCTCTCGCTTTATTCACAGCATGGATGAATGTTGTCTTTAACGTCACGACTGGACGACGCGTGGGCAGGATGGTGACCAATTGAACGGGACACTGTATATTTTGGGTAAGCCATCGGTGAGAAGTTCCTGACAGACTCACTGAATCGAACCACAGATCAACTTGCGTCTGATAGAAATTGTTAGTTACTGTCGCTGATTACAGTCGTTACTTACCAAAACTTTCCTGCCTTTCATTGGCAGCGATCCCCTACAGGCCGCATGGTTTGTGCGAGACATCTGTGTTATGATATGTTATGATGTGGGGTTTGACAGCTCGACAGGGGCTATTTGCCGTAAGTAATGCAAGTCGTGTATTGGCATGGGTAAGGCGGATGATCGATTATCTATAAGCGGAACTTCAATTCTGCCCAATGCCGATGATCAAAATTACATAACTTCAATTCTGCCCAGTGCCGATTAAATTACATATATCGTTTAAGTGCTGGAGCACACTCACCCATGGCATGATGCGAATTTGAACCTCTTGTGACTGTATCTCAATACCATGCAGTGTTTGACTGCGCTGTTAATTTCGAGCTCTGTGCGATGTGTGCTCTTCAAGCTTCATAGTCGGCCAATAAACATTTAAATTTGTTTCCAGAAGATGAGCCAAAATGGATGGGATTGCGGCTTTCTGGGCATATAGGACAGCTCCAAAGATTGTCATACATGCATGGATTTAGTACAAGATGGCACACGAAGAAAGCAGCGCTGTATGTCCTATTTACTTGCGCGAGAATGATGACATGGGCAAGTCCCACACGACTCTCAGAGACTTCGGGGAACTAAAGCCGTTGCTATTGGGAAGCACGCCAAACTGATCAGAGGGGATTGGCTGAACAACAATAGGCCGAATGTCTTCCAGGACCATTTGCCTGTCACTGGTAGTGTCAGAGATAGTGCTTTTCGCAAGTCGCGACTTTGCAGAGATCTGAAGAACATTAGAACTCCTAAATGTAGATCATGATGAGCTAGGTAAAACAGTGCACAGATGAAATTTACGTTACGAAGGGGAGACTCCTCACAGCCTCCGAGAACGTTGGAAACATGTGTAGGTGCTTGTACATATGGTCTAGAGCCGCCATGATAATGGCATTCATCGGCGCTGGTTCCAGGATATTAGCGCTGGCATCGATATCGATGTTCACCTTGACCTCGGCCTCAGCTTCGTTCCCGACCTCGGCTTCGCTCATGACCATGGTCTTCCTCTTCTTTAATTCATCCTTCACCATGAGAAGTAGAATATGGTAAACCTGACATATTGATGCAAATTTCATTAGTTCGATACAAAAGGGTAAGGGGAAGAAAGACTTGCGAAAGTCATTAAATTTCCAGCCAGGCATTGGGCTAAACAATTAAACCTTGACAGAACCTCTTCTGGAAAAAGTTCGCCAATTCTTCCATTGGAATTTCCGTCCGATAACCCGTCGACAGGGTACAAAAGGGACCCCCACAGAACTTCTCAATATACCTGGTGACTTATGAGGTCCGAAATTGCTTGCTGGACCTGGAAAACAAAAATGCTTGAGGTCGAATTATGCTAGTTGGTCTCCAGTCTCTTACCTGAGAGGATTGGCCCGAGTTAAGAGCCAGAACGAAGGAGATAGCCTTCTTGATCGTCTTGGTACCGGCAAAGTTGGGGTGCGCTGACATCGCACCTTTCAGGATTTTTCCTAGGTCCGATTTGGCACTGGAGAACGACTTAACCAGCTGCTCAAATTAGTTCCTAGGAGGAAGCGAAAGCAAGGATGAGGGAAAACATACACTTAAGCGAAGCACAGGCCATCCAGCAGACACAGTTTTGGTCTCTGAAATCCTCGCGATCACTGATCAGACTGTAAGATAGCAACTCATAATGAAACGCCCAAAATGCAAGACACCGACCTGGGTGGGACTCCATGTCCTCGTAGGTCTTGTGAGTCATGTCTAAACTAGTGAGAAAACAAATCGTTGTGACAATATAGTTTTCCCTGGGCTGATATTCCCCCTTTTTACTTACCTTCACTTACCCACTTTCCTTAGTTTATGTTCGCATTTTTACTGCTTACATAATCATGTCTCCCTTTAACCAGTGTCAGTACCAGTCTGAATCACAGTCTTTTGCTTGATGATAATTCTACTCTCTGAGCTCTGAGTCTAGTACAGAAATCCTTCAGGGTCGAATAGCAGCTAGGCATAGCAATTTTGACCCAACATTTGAAGAGTACTTTACAGAGTTCTCTTCTTGTTGTGTTTCCCACATCGTTATCAGACGTCGCGTGCTTGTCACAGAAATTTGAAATGGGTTTCCGGAAGCTCCGGTCCACAACCCGCCTATGAGCAGCACCTTGTTAGCGTGATTATTCGATTCCAGGGTGACCTCCTCATGTGACGAAGTATTTGTGAGCGGATGTTCTTGTCCACGCCGGTATTGGTGGAGTCTCTCCATTCCAGGCTGGGATGCATGATCTGTTGCTGCTCACCAAAGGCTAGCTCGAGTTGTGTTTCATTTGTGTCCTCTGGAATGAGATACTTGTCAACGGCGCTTGCAGAATAGCCAGTGGAGTGGTCGTAGAAGTTGAAGTCACTGTATGCATGATCAATGTGATCCAAACTTGGCACAGACGTGCCAATGACAGGCATCTCAGCAGCATGTTGAAGGACCGGATCAGCGAGACCGAAGTGCTCGAGGGGTGGATATCCCGATGAAAATGGCATAGATGCGCTAAAGGAGGGTGTCTCCACAGCACACGAATCAGGGACAATGAGATGCTCGGGAGGTGGATATCTGAATGGAAACGGAGCATGATGGAATTGTACCGATGCGTTCAACTCTGGAAGCTATCAATGTGACGATGAAGACATGTACAACTATAACTAAATAACAAAACTCACCAACCACGAAGGAAGCACTAAGCCTCTGACACCTGGTCTGCAACAGGTAGAATTGATTGATTGAACGTAGGCACCGCTCTCCAACTGATTTCGCAATTGAATAAGCAAACTGTCTGGGGAGGCGAAGCTCTCACCGTTGTCGCAAATAAATTGTGGATATGGTGCATATTCCCTGCGCTGGGGACAACTAGTGTTCCAACCTGTTGAAGTACATGAATCCAAGGCTGATCATTCTCGAATACTTTGTCACACTACGAATGAATCAATACGATGAGATAATTATTTGATTTGAGGAGACAAACTCACATAGATGGGGTAGATGTGAGTGTAGTCGGCCAAGTATCCAATGAGAATGAATTCTGCCCCCGTAAAAGTGACAAATGGATGCTAAAATCGCAGGTTAAAAGGGAACAACGGCTGCAGCGCTGATGGACAGCGACAAACCACTTCGTTCTAGAGGGAAAGATTCAGCGGATGATTTGTAGTATAGAGCTTACTTACAGCGAGTTGTATGAGGTGAAGAATGGAATTCCGTTGTGGCATGTATAGCCACACATTGGACATCGACGGAACACTGTCCATGATTAGGGTAGCAGGCAAGCAAATTGGCAACAAACGAAGACCAACCATGTATTATAAAGACTGGCCATGCATTATCAATGGCCGGAAATCAAAGATGGTCACAAGCGAATAGCTAAGAATGCATGGTGGGCAGGGGCGGTGGGCGAGGCGGTGGGCAGGAATGGTGGGCAGACGCGATGGGCAGTCATGAGTAATGAAAATTGTGCCATCGAGTAAGGTAACGCATACTACTTCACATTAAGGCCGATGAGGAATTCAGATTGCGCCCATCGACTGGCGTCAGTTGCTGTGATGTAACATTAATTTTCGTAATCAAAATCGAGGGTGCAGTCCATGAACATCTCATCTAGCGCCTCGATAATCGATTCCATGCTCGCATTCCTTTCTGGCCCCAAAAAGCATGGCTCCTCGACACCAAGGTAATCACCATCTTCATCCTGTTCATCCCGCTCCCCGTCAGGTGGTTGGGCGATTCCCATTGGATTGTCTTCGATACATTCATCTTGCACCTGTGCGCTTGTCTGACCAGCATGCTGTGGTGCGGAGTTACGAGGTTCTGAGACCCCCACACTATGTGAGTAAACGTGCCCTACCCCAAGGCCAAAATCAAACCTCATGAGGGCGTCACGATCAACAAAACTAATAGAGTTGTAAAATCAGTAGACATGGCCGAAAGAGGACAGGATAACTCACCTATTAACATAGTACTCTTGCCAATTGTGTTTATCTCCCACTACGGGAGAAATCCCATCATTTGAGTTACGCTGGCCTCGAGAGAAAGCCGGAATAATGTGACATGCCCTCGGCACAGCGCCCGGGTCTACAAAGCCGAATGTGCCCGGATTCACTAGAGGTAGGAAACGAACGCGGCACAAAGTATGCATTTCCCAGACATGTTCCTGTACAGACTCATACCACCACACAAAAAGGAACTCTGTTCGACGAGATTCGTACACATTCCCAGTACGAACAACATTGACGTGGTGTATACCGAGGACCTTGGCATAACGGTAGTGGCCATCGCACCCATCATCATGTTGGAGCAACATGATGTTGCAATGTGGGGTTCTCGGATTGATGACGTCTTGAGCCCTTCTAACATCATAAGTTGTATAATTGAACCTCACCAGGTTGTGGTGATAGATTCTGTTACGTTTAAAGAGAATGGAAGCACGTTCTTTGTCGGTATGGGTGGTTTTTCTCCATAGAAGATCCAGGCGCCCCCTGTGACAATATGGTCCAAAATATAATCTTTTAACCGCAGCAGGAAGTCCTGATGCTCATGTCAGAACGATGATTAATAAATTCCAAGGTCAGCTACCTTCATAGCAGGATCTCTCGCATTACTGTGAAGGTAATGACCAACTTCATCGTAAAGCTTCTCGCTTTGGCCGATGTGGTGGTGTAGCCGGGGATCGCTCGCGGTTTTGTTTGACTCCACACGAGAAGCCCATTGTTGATGTTGTTGTTTAATGCGGTGCAAGCGCGTTTGACGGCACTCAATCTGAGTTAGCTGTTGAACAAAGGATCTACAATCAGTTTGATAGTATCTACCCTTCGGCGTGTGGTGCTCCAACTCCCCCTAAAAAGCAGTTAAGCTAAAGTGACAGGCAGCAGATCATGACTTACTGTCTCTGTGCTGTATGAATTGGTGGTTCCAAAGTGACGGATGGAAGTCACATAGTCCCCCAGCGCATGAAACTTGTAGGTCTGAAGATTGAATTTCTTCCTCCTCAGTTGCCTTGGTAAGGGGGTATCCTGCAAGTGCTCTGCACTGGCCTTCTGTTTCCCTTTAGTGTTGGTACTTGCTGCAGTTCCTTGCCCAACACCATCCGCCTTGCCTGTCTCCACCCGCTTAGCCGCATCCTTTGCCTGCCGACGAGACCGCGCATCAACCTCACGATCGAGCTCCTGGGTGCTGTACGCAGAGCACACTGTCGCCTTAAACTTACGAAATTGTTCACCAAGATCAGTCGTTTGTTGGTTGAGGATTGCTAAGGTCAGGTCGGAATGCATGCGCAGTTTGGCAAGTCCATGCCAGTGTGCCATGATAAAAAGTAGGTCCATGATAATTTTGTTGTGAGCTTCGGGGAGCAGGCCTTCGAAGACCGGGATAGAACACTGGTACCAAATTAGTTCACAAAGCAATATGAGAATTATCCCAAATGCATACCTGAAGAAGATCTTCGAAGTTTCGTGCAGCCAAGTTCGACAATTCAGAGGTGTTGGCAGAGAATCGCCTAATCGTTGCGGGCCCAAATGAGGGAACTTGTCTGTATCTGTCGGAGGAGGGGATGAGTGTGGTGGGCCTTCATTGGATATGTATTAGCAACCTTTTATCAAGCTCATGGACCAGGTCCTTATTCAAGGCGAAAAGTATGCGAAGTAAATGAACTAGAAGCATACGCCAAACCCCTAGTTCGAACTCATGAAGGAGATCGACGACAAGCGCAGCAAACACGTTGAATCCAAACGCACTAAGGCTGTCTGACAGCGAGTTCTAATCAAGGGTGAGTGAAGGCAAGAAGGGAGATGGATGATCGTGCTCACCAAGTTTGGTACCCACAAATCAGGTTTGAGAAGCGACTCGACTGCTACACTGTCAATGCCATAGTTCTTCTCGTATATGAACCCGCGTGCGGTAGCAACAGGCTGACTCCTCAAGGCATGGGACCGTGCCATCATTGAACGTTGTTGCCGATCGCAGCTCATCCCCAAATGATGAAGGTGAGTGGTCGGTATCAGACATCGCGTACAGGGGCAACCTCCCAGCTGTCGAATGGTCGCAACGAGAACTCTGGCTTCTGTGAGCTTAGATTTAATTCGAGAACATTAGGGACTCACTTCTCAGGATAATCTGCAGAGTAGGTAAATAATCGTGGATAAAACCTGTGTTTTATCCCATCACAGCACAAAATGACGATCCCATGCTCATAAGCCTCTAAAAACTCGTGATCGAGCAAGACTTTCCATTGAGCCTGAAACAGTTCCCGCTGGCAATGTGTTGTGTACTCGCGGCCAACCCCCTTGCCTCCAGTGTAAGTGCCAGTGAAATCTTTGAAAGAGTCTGGTAGCTGCCAAGATGTGAGTTTTGAATGCTGAAGAGGAAACTTCAAAATGGTAATCGCACCTTTTGAAAATAGGCCACATGGTTAGCCAAATTGCAGGATGGTTTGCAATGGCAGTATTTGGGTTCATTTCCAAAGTACATGTACAACGGCCATAGCTTCGCATTGCCAAATGTTGTCAGGTGCGTGGCATCTGACAAAACATAAGTGCGACAACCACACGTGGTAAATCGCACCCCTCCTCCCGAGGAGACTCCTGAAGTTCACGGTGCATGTCCATGAAAGCCAGAGAGGTATATAGTTCACCTTGAATGTCGACCTCACAAGGAAGATGAGGAGCACTCCATCGCAGTTGGTAAGGTTCGTAATGGAAAAGCTCATCGTCCTGAGGATTTGAGAGCTTTTCACAAATGACGGAGATGAGAGATCGATGGTAAAGGTCTGCTGCGACGTACGGTCGAATGCCTGGCTGAGCTGTGGTCCGAGAAAAGGGAACTTGAATAGTTACTTGAGTTTTGCACCAACCCGCGTCCTCATCCTCCCATTCCTCCCTCTCATCGTCGTCGATACTCGCACCTAGTTTCGAGTTGATTTTGTCCCATGGTGTACTCCGGACATTATCGGGATCAAAATTTGGGTGACTGACGATATCGATGAGCTCTTTGAAGCTTTGATGGGACTTCTGCACGCCGCCATTCCAGTACCAATGACCGAGCTCGAAAGACGATCGATTGGGATAGGGGTGAAATAAAACGTCATGAGTGTCAGCAAGGGCATCTAGCTCTGCTGAAGTAACCGCTGGCACATAACTGATATCTTGGAGTGTCACTGCTTCTTCCAGGTCATGAGATGGGGGGGTGGATGAGAAGAACTGGCGAATCAATCTGAAGACATTTCTAGCAGTGCGAAAGGGGGGAACTGGCAGAGATGCACGATCACCGGTGGACACGTCAATTGGTTCTGGTGGGTTAACCTCCGGTGCTGGGGTAGTATGGCCAGGGGGGGCGCTTGGAAGAGGTTGTGGGAGCACATCCTCATGCTGCCTATATCGTAGCGGCATAGGAACACCAATACATCGGCTCCTCCACTGCGCCAGTGATAAACTTTCATCCTCATCTATTTCCATAGGTGTGGTGCCAATGCTGGCGTTAGATGCAGCGGTGAGTGGATGGTCCTGCGATGAAGGCCCTGCACCCGAAACCTCATGTGAGTGGTGCATTCCCGACGGAGTTGAGCAGACGTGTGAAGGCTCAGGTTCTGTGTTGAATGGCTCATTAGCCTGTTCAGTGGACGGGAACGATCCCCGTGGATGGTGGGGGTGCTCACCTGAAGATGTAGTGCTAAGGCGGGTATACCCGTCGACTCGTGACCGTTTTACAGAGCCCAAAATGACCCTTGCTTTAGATAAAGCGGAAAACAATCGCTTCTTGCCCTTCGTGCACGAGCGTTGATGTTTACTGTAGGCGTTCTCGTGCGTGAATTCACGTGTACAGGTGCATCTGAAAGTGATTGGAACCCGCAATGAGTCATCCTGATCCATGACGATGAGGAGCGGAAAGCGTGAGGAGCTAAAAACTGTAGTTGAGCCCAAGGATAAAAGGTCGCCGCGTGGAATGACTTACGATCCAGCGGCAATGAGGTTGGGCACTAATAATGGTGGGTCAGTCACTAATGATGGTAGGTCAGTACGGTTACTTCAGAATAGCCTTGGTGCTGTGATGGTGGGCCACATGGCGGGCTGGTGCACTTGATGATGACATGATGACATAGGCTAAATTCATGCCCCATAAAAGTAGGGTAAAACACGTCCTACGCCGGATCACTCACTGGAAATGGAAGCTCCATCTTCACCTTCTTCAACCATTACTGCCCCCCCTGACTTCCATGAAGCTGCTCGACGGTTAGCCAGAATGATTGCAGAGGCTATGACATGCGACTTCGCCCTCATGCACTACGACAGTGCCTTGGAGTCCATGATCGAATGGTATTGGTGAGATGGCATTGGATCCTATGCCAATGTTGAGCTGATACCGCTCCACAAAAACGCAGGCCTATCAGTTGTGATGGGAAAAAAATTCCGCCATCCCATCTAGAGATGCACCGCGATGGATATGATTATAGATTCCCATGCTGCTTATGCGCTGACGGCGGTGGAAGAGGAGCGTATGTAGAGTCTGCCGTGTATTCTTGGTGGGACGAGGGTAACAAAAAGACTGATTGGACCGCAAGGTGTACAACCAATAGATGCGGATATCAAGGTTCAGTATTCTTCATACTCAAGAAGATCTCAGACTCAATATCACCTAGTGAAAATAGACAAATACTTCCGTCTACCATCCTCAGCCGCCTTCCGGTACCCTCAAAGAGGTATGTTTGCTTCGTTGCAGCACTGCAGGTTCATGACGGACAATAAAGAACAGGAAGTCTTGCCTAAGGCTATTCGATTTGAATGGACCCACAGGGAGCAAACAGAACTGTTGAAAAGACTCAACTCATCTATTGGTAATGGGATTCCTGCAAAGGAGTTCCGAATTCTGTTTAGACGCTGCAAAAAATGCATGTGGGTAGGAGCAAGGCCAATGATGAGCCGTCATATCTGTTCAGGTGTGACAAAGCGTGAACCACGGTCACAGCACGCTTTAATCGAGTCATGCCACTAGCTTATATTTTCTGATTACCTATGCGCACACTGTACTCTAGCCTACCTACCATATCACTTGAATAATCGTTTACACGTAACGTCATATTCCAAGTGATTTACATTCAGACACTCAGTGAGACATGTAAGGAAACGAGATACCGCGCTTTCAACCGTAACTGCCACATTCGGCCGACAAGAAAGATAGTCTAGAAGGACAACTTCATCCCTGCCAGCGTTGACACCCTGCACACCAAATCCTTCGCGGGCAGGACACACCAGCACATACAGTGACCTACGAGAGATGTGCGACCGAAGATTTCCTCAGCACCGCCCCCCCAGGAAGGGGTGATACCAAGGCGGCAGGGGTGAGTTATTTATATCTTTTGATGCCTACCGGCTTGCCCACCCAGGCCCCACGATCTCAATTCCGCGAAGGCTGTAGGCACTCAACAATTCGATATTGAACCACCGCTGTATACATATAAATACTGCTTATTACAACATATTGCACTACCTCATGTGCGGCCATTGATTCAATATGCCAACCTGTCTTTCTTCAGATCTGTTTGATTACTCAAGTGCTCACGCGAGCATTTTTCAACTCTCGAATTCTCTGGGCTCTGAAATGCTGGATGCCTATATAGGACTGATAGCAAGTCAGAAGGTCAGTTTGGTAATATCACATCTTTGTGCATACTGATCATTTTCTTGCCATGTAGCTTCAAACCGAATTATATGTTCTGTCATTTCTGCTCAAAGATCGAGTCTATCCTGGCAATCTTTGGGAAATAATCAGTGAGCGCAGTATAGAGGCCAGGCAAGAAGAAATGTTGCACAGGCACCAGCATGTCTGTACTGGTGGGGATGGTGGAAGGCACACCCATGTAGAGCGAGTTCTCATAGACAAGAGGAGGAGACGGTGTCAAATGGAGGTGTCTTTGTATAGTCAGGCGATTGAGCTCTTGGAACAACACTGGATGTGTGAGCTTATTCAAATTTAAGTGCGGCTGTGTGGTCTGAACCCACTTGCTATTTGTAGCACGATTTGGAGCTCGAACCAAGCATCCCATCAGGCCAAGCACGATGGAAACAGTTACACCTGCGAACTACATACCTTTACCTTGCGCGCCTTTAGCCTGTTCAATTGCAACACGAGAGACGTGTGTAGCTTGGCTAAGGAGGAACAATACCCACTGCCTCATTCGATGTTGAGATCCTTTGATTGAGAAAACGTTACATTCAAGTTCGGACGGCTCTACCCTTTCAGTCTTTGGTCAATCGGCCTTGCACGCAGGAAGACCAATATCCATCAGTTTGAAGGTCAGTACTGTGATAGTCCACTCGGCTGCTCTCACTGCCTTTCTACAGTGTATTGGCTCCCCATTTTCCCTGTCAAGTACATGGGTCACTTCCGACATCCAAGAAAAAAAATTCCAGGTGTTCCAAGCAGAACTGACCATGCAGGCGGAGTTGATGGTGACATCCCTTGCCACTAGGCGTAACAACGCTCATCTGTGTAACCTTGGTCTGGATTTGCTCATCTTGCGGGCAAAGCTATGCCGCGCCCAAGCTGAGATGGAGCTCTACATGATGGCCATTGAAAATTCTCATGTGTGCAGCTTCTGTGACAATAGTAAGCATAGGCTGATTGTGCTCCCTTCAATCATTGATGTCCTTGTAGGTTTCTCAACGTCCCCAGATCCGATGTCCTGCATGATTTGGGAATCATGCATGGACATGACTACTAGGTATCCCCCTAAAAGACAAAGTCTGTTAGCTTAGTCCTCAGACTAGTCAACCCATACCTTGGTATCAAACCTTGGTCCAATAGTTTCAGTTTTCCCTCAGTGATTCATGAATCCACCATGTTTTGAAGAAAAGTCATATGTGAGATGGGAATCACATAATGACCTAGTTGATATGAGAAGCAAAATGAAGGTTAAGGTATTGCCTTTCCTTTGGCTTATTCACTTTGGCTAGAGAAACCCATAGAGAAAAGTTCAAAGCCTAACAAAAACCTATCTAAAAAGCCCGCGTATTGTGTACTATTATTTGTTCCATTATTTCTGAGTTGTTTTCTCTAGTGTTTCTTTACTTTGCTTTTCTATTAGGATGCTCTGACTAATCAGATGCTTCATAAAATTGTACCTACAGGGTATGATGTCATAATGATGTCATAGGACTTCACCTACACTCCTGCAGGTATTTTGGTTGAAAGATATGATATCATAGTGATGTCATAATGATGTCATGTTCCATGGAATTTGCTAGAACATTCCAATGACTCATAATGACTCATAGTGACTCATAGTGACTCAGAATGATGTCATTATCCCACCATGAATATTCTGGAATGTTCTTTTGCACCTGCTAGAACATTCTGCTCCAGTTTTTGGAATATTCTTCTCACATTCTGAAGTCATTACATCACCTTTTTACTTACATAATATTCCCACACAAAATGTATATAAGGAGAGCCCATTCTCCCCCAAAAAAAATAGATCTCCCACTTGTTGCATTCAAGAACTCCCACTTGAGCAAATTGAACTCTCACCTAAGAAGCTTCAGTCTGAACAAATTGCTGCTTACAAAGCCCATTTCCTTTGTAAGAACTGTCCAGGCAAGTGCAGGGAAAGTGTTTCCCTTGAGATTACGTAAGTTTCTCACAATAGAAACTCAGTTTTGTGAGACCAGTGTTTTCACCACGTAGTGTTTACTGACCAACACGAGCTTTGGTCACCGTTGTTATTTGTGAGACCAGCATTCTCACCAGGTATTTGTATACTGACCAACACGAGCTTTGGTCATTGTTGTTATTTGTCATTGTTTTCTATTTGTCATTTGTTGTTATTTGTGAGACCAGCGTTCTCACCAGGTATTTGTATATTGACCAACACGAGCTTTGGTCCACATAGTCACATTTGAGACCAGCTTCTCAACAGTTAACCGTATATTCAGGAAACCAGTTCAAGTGTCTAGACGGTATATCCTAGACAATCCCATAGTTTCAATCAGAGATAATAAAGCTCCGGCTAAGTTAATCTGACTGATTGGTTTAGCGAGCCTCCCAAGAACTCACACGTTATCTACCACGAAAGAAGAAAAGTCGTAGACCGTGTTAATCGAGGACTGGCAAGAAGTCTTATCCAGTGTAATTGTGGTGTCATTACATTCTTACATGTATTTATATAAGACCCTCGGTTATTAAGACACCGATTGTTCCACGATGTCTACCTGAGGAAGTAGACCTTATCCAGGATCACGGGGATGATGAAGACGAGGATGACGACGGTGATGGCTCGGGCAGCGAAGACTATGATGATATCGACGTTTGGGTGCCATGAGTTAGACCAGGCTGAGATCAACATCTTTAGTGCATGACAATATTTTTGGCCATCCCGCTGGACCCTAACCTTCTTCATTTATTGCCTTTGTATTGAACATTACTAGCTACTGTATCAATCATGTAGAACAGTGTTATTTTGGTGTAATTACAATAGACTTCGCGTTCAAATTCGTATTGCTGCCGCGGATCACATTGTGCTTCACCAACTCAGAATATTTCAGTTCTTTCTTTCCTCGGCCCGCACATACATCTTACAAGCTAGCTGGTAGTACCTATTAAGCATACCCAATTCCCTAGGCAATATGACACCCCTTAGTATCTTCTTCCTTGATGTTATTACTCCACAGCGAGTTCGCACATCTCAATCATTTCTCAATCAATTCGTGTCATGTTTCTGTATTCTAGCTGCTAGATGTTTGGTATATATTCTCGACCACATGTATCTCAACACCCATACGCGATCATGGCCTTCTTGAAGCCTTAGAGCTCGCAAGGTAAATCAATGCTAAACCTGCATCATCCAACAGTAGACCGTGAGAAAATAGGTTCGTCATCAATTCCACCACATTGATACATACATTTACTCTCAGCCATCAACCTCAAGTTCGTATTCGCCTGGGTGATACAGTCAGTTTATTCCCAAGGCCACCCACGTCCAACATACTTTGAGTTGGAGAAGGGGCGTCCCATGCAATTTGATGAGGAGAACAAGTACTGATTCCACTTGGTGCGTATTTCTCCATCATCCTTGCCCGGTAATTTCCTCTAACCAACGAAGTCTGTACATTTGGTACAGATTTCACAGCCTTTCACAGCCCATCTCTGCCATCTGCAGGCGCTCTTTCAGCCTGACAATGGAGTCCACCTTGCCATCTTC